AAAAATTGGGTTTCTCTTCAATCCTGTTTTAGAAGTTGGAAAGTGTGTTAAAACTAGTGTTCATATTGAGAAAATTTAATTGAACTTGTTTGGAACATTTCTAGGTGACATACACAGAAGAAAACGTCAAAAACAATTTTTGAAAATTATGTAATGTTTTTTTTTGTCACTTTTAATTGACACACTTTTGTCCTTTATTTTTACTTTTGAAGGTGGATTGAAAATAAATCAAATTACATCCACATGCAGTATTTTTCGTGGGCTATTCAACCATATGAGAAACAGCAGAAATAAACTAATTCCAAGGAAAGTAATATTGCAATTTACGAGTGCAAGTTTTTTTTGAATACAGCTGTATATTCGATAAATTGATAATCAGTAGATCACGACAGTTGAAAAAAGCTAAAGTGAACGCCTTGAGACCTGAGCCTAAAAATTTCTTGTTTACTGATAAATTGCTTCGACTTAACCTGAGTTTTTACAAGGATCGACTTCACTTGAGTCAGAAAAAGATAACTAGAAGTCTATAATTTTCTTGCTAGATGAGTTAACAGGATCAATTAATGGTCATTTTTAGAGCATGTTTTGCTGCATCGTTTCATCATAGAGAAAAGTTTACTACACCAATCGAGTTAACAATTCTGACTCTCCTTTATACGTTTCTTTCTTTATATCAGCCAAGTTGTCCTACTGTCTTATTTCTGAGAACATTCTCGAATAAATTATCTCTTTCTTAGAAAAACTCATTACTACGACAAATTTTCTAAGCAGTAAATAACCAAGTGTAATCAAAGTAGATATTGTGATGAAAAACATGTACAGATCGCGACAGATATCAAGCTGTGAGAAAAATACTTCTTGATTAATCAAATAGCTAAATAATCACAAGCGCATTCATTCTTGTCTTGTTAAGAAGATTGATTTGTTATTTGACATTAATAAATACTCTTCTTTTACTTAATTTAATATAATAATTTGTTTAACAAAAAACACAAAAAACAAAAACTCAGTGACGTTTCGTATCTCGATAAGATACTTCGTCAGACATAAACATAAAACAAATGACTGAACATACAATAACTTATACAAGTGAAAACACAGTAATTAAGAACAAGCAAACTCGACTATTTTCTTCCTTTTTAGTCATTGATAGTGATACGGAAAAAGGATTAACTCCCTATCTAGCTGTCACTGTTGCCGTCTTGTTTTTCCGTATCCCTATCAATGACTAAAAAAGAAGAAAATAGTCGAGTTTGCTTGTTCTTAATTACTGTGTTTTCACTTGTATAAGTTATTGTATGTTCAGTCATTTGTTTTATGTTTATGTCTGACGAAGTATCTTATCGAGATACGAAACGTCACTGAGTTTTTGTTTTTTTTTGTTAAACAAATTATTATATTAAATTAAGTGAAAGAAGAGTATTTATCAATGTCAAAAAAAAAGCGCATTCAAGTGAAATTGGGAAGGCTGATGAAAAATACTGGTTGACACTTCAAACAAAATGATTCATGCATGTACTTTTTTACAAAGAACGATTAATTAGGAGTCCATTTGATGAGATTTTTTCTTTCTTTGGCAACTTGGCGTTACTGACGGAAGCTCTACATGAAACTTGTCATCTTGTTCAATAGCTAAGTAGGCGGCAGTAGAATTTTAAAAAAAATAGTCCAACAGATGGCAATGTCAAAATAATTTCAAGCTATTTGTTTCTTTCTGACGTTATAGAAGCTTTGCGAATGTTAGAGCAAATTGTTCATGTGGTGCAAGTCCAAAAAATAATCTTGCCATTAACATCCATAAAACTTGTCACAGAAAATTGCTTCAGAATTGTTTGAGAATTTTTCAACTACTTGTTCTTAATTTTCCCACCTAAAAAAACGCATATTATTGATTGACACTGTCACATCAGTCATTATAGTTCTCTAGTTATTAAGCTTTTGATTTGTTATTTGAAATTTTTGAATCTGTGAATATAATGATACACACGTGAGTCATACCTTCAAGTCGTACAAGTTAACTATGTTAATGATTCGATATCTAGACAAGAAAACATTCTTAGGTTGACAATTTTGATTGCAAAGATTTTTCGACGTTTGCCATTGCATGAGGGTAGCTAAGGCTCAGTTAAAGATTTGCTTGATTTATACCTAGCAGAAGAATTTTCTTCACTGCTTTGACATGTCTCTAAACATAAACATTTTTTGATGACAAGCAGTCTGAACGTTGCTAATTCATGCGAGTATAAATAGCTATAGAATGAATTCCTCTCGCTCAACTTTTAAGAGATTTTTTTTTTCTACCAATCAGAAGCAATTCATTTGACAGCTAAAGGTGGAATATCTTTCTACGACTGCATTCATTTTTTTTTTCACACACTTTCTACTGCAAACAGTGAACATTTCAGTATTCTATGAGTTCCGGTAGCGTTAGCAGTGGTCTCTTGATCGCTCCAGTCCAATTGAACATTTATTTGGGATTATTCATTTACGTCACTGGCGTCATTGGCAGTATTGGTAATCTGATCGTATATAGATCACGAACATTACGAGACCGAGCTTGCTCTGTCTACTTATTTTGGGAATCTTTCGTCGATCTGCTCTATCTAAATTCTGTGCTTCTAACACGTATATTGCAGAAAGGTTTTCGAATCCCCATCACGACACATTACGATGCTTTGTGTAAAATTCGCCAATTTGTCTCGAGTTACGGAAATCAGCTTGCAGTCACCTTCTTGGCATTGGCTACACTCGATAGGATTCTATTAGCACAGCGCTCGGCTGGTGAGTTCAAAAATACTTCATTATGTCACGATACGATCATTATATTTCCTTCGCATATGCATAATTCACTTTAAAGCCTTTGTAGAACATCCGACATGAAACATACTTTTTGTAATCCAAATCAACTTAATTTGAGATGGAGCTCCGTATGCAATATCTTTCCCTTTCTCTTAATAAAATCAATTTCTCGATATTTTTTTCATCGATGATATTCCGCCGATATTGCGCAGTTCAGACAAAATGATTATGTCATAGAAGTATTCCTTATTCATATGTTTATTGAGTATTGTGCCTAACCTGCTACTCTTAGGTCACCCTTAGGGAGCATTTCAAAATGTTTGCCGTTCGGCCGGCCCTTCGACCGCTATGCCGCTTTGCCGCGACATAACTGATTTATTTTACTTACATTTTGATATATTAATTGTTTCTTTCGATGTATGTATATGTTGTGGTCAAAATTAAAATTCAGTCAGATTTAAAATTTGCCTAGTCAGAATTGAAATTTTAATTTCGTCTAGGCAAAATTAAAATTCTAATTTTGTCCAATATGATCTCAGTCAAAATTACAATTTGAATTTTGACCAGACAAAATTAAAATGTGTTTCTCATGAATAGAAAGTCTTAAAGAAAGAAAAACAATTAAGATAGAACAAATCTCTTTTATTTTACAATTAGTGGCGTAACAAAGATTTTGTATATGTAAACGCTGGGTCTTAGCAATAGAGCATGGGATTCAGATGAAGCTTCTGGAGAATGACATTGGGTCCAAATGATCATTTTTTATCAAAAAGTTTTCCCGATCAAAGTTTGCGGAAAAAATTTTTCTCCTATTCCTCATCAACATTTTTTCCTCTCAAAACGCTATAGCGGGATGTATTCTTTCAGAATTTATTCCCTCTATGGTTTTTATTAATTATGATAATATCTCAGCACACCCACACTCAAACCTGTGCCCTCATCCACACTCAGACCTTCCCCTGCATCCTACACCCTCACTCTCACCTTGTATGTATTAAGGAATAGCGTGGGATTTATCCCAAAATGCTTAACGATTTATTGAAAAGTCCGAATAATCTCCAAAAAAATAAGTCCCGGTAGCTGCTGGAAGATTTCGATAATACTTTAAAAATTTTGAAAAATTCGTGAATTGTCCCAATGTTTTCGACCTTGTGATTCCCCTAGCTACATCGAATTTGATCTAAAAATACGCATCCTTTCAGGAATTATAACCTTTTGAATTTTTGCTACATGTTGCAGCTGAGATCCAACATATACAAAAATCCTTCTTACACCACTATTTGTTATCCTTGGTTATCAAAGTTTTATCTTTTTATGTACATCAGAAATATTTTAATTTTGTCTGGTCAAAATTCAAATTTTAATTTTGACTGAGATCATATTGGACAAAATTAGAATTTTAATTTTGCCTAGACGAAATTCAAATTTCAATTTTGACTAGGCAAATTTTAGATTTGACTGAATTTTAATTTTGACCACAACATATATATACGTCAAAAGAAACAATTAATATATCAAAATGTAAGTAAAATAAATCAGTTATGTCGCAGCAGAGCGGCATAGCGGTCGAAGGGCCGGCCAAACGGCAAACATTTTGAAATGCTCCCTTAAATGAACAGTGCAGTGACAATATATCGTTGTCCAATGTCAATAAAGGAATAGCAGCGATGTGTAACAAAACAGCATTGGATGCATTGCTTTTCTTTTTCTCTCAAGCTTTTCCAAGTTCTGCAACAGAGTTTTTCAATGAAAAAAAATTTCAAATATCTTTTGTGTTCGAGAAATGTTTACACTCTAAAATGATGTTCCGTGTTTTTGTTTCACTAGCGGTATCGTCTCACGTTCTCAAATGAAAATGAGTCATCGTTAGAATACATCCTAATCTAGGTGGTGAACATTTATTCA